TGGGCCTGCATTTCTTTACTGCTGCACAACTTCACTCTGGACTTACCTCTTTTATTTCCTTCTCACAGTGAAGCTCTTTTTCCATCCATCCATACTGCATAAACACACACAACCCCCTTTCCCCCTCTGCCCCTTCATTCTTTAGCCATCACAGCTTTATCCTCATCACTGTGAGCTGGATATGATTTCTCCTTATTCTTGTTCAATTGTGCTTTTTCTGGGTGTGACACCTTTGGGAGTTTGGCTCTCTAAAGTTAAATAAGATTATCCGTGTTGGGTAATAATCCCCTTGCTGGCCATGCTGGGCAATATTTGCCTTCAGTACAACTCCTGAGAATTTTCCAATAGAAGTAAAAAAGAGAGAGAGGTCATAATTTATTGCAAAAGGTGGAGATGCTCACCTGAATTCACACTGGAGCCAGCCTGGTGAATTGCTTGAGAAGTCAAAAGTGCTGCAGCCAACCAGCTCTGGGCAATTGTGTAATGAATGTAATTGTACTGTAAATATATGAATTGTAAATGACTGTGTTTTAGATAGAAAGGGCTGAAAGAGGGAGTGATGTAGGACAGGACCTGTGGTGCAGTTTTTGAAGCAGACAGTGGTAGAGGCATTCCCAGGAGCAGTGTCAGGATGGCAGGAGACAAAGGCCAGGGAAGAGCAGCAGGTCTGTGCATGACAATGGGCTAATTGCAGTCCCTAGGGGTAGAAGTGCTGCTTAAATCCCCTGATGCAGTGAGTATGTAACTAACACACAGCAGAAACAAGCAGACCACAGCAGAAGAAGGGTAAGTGTTGTTTTGACAGTGTTCAGCACATTCCTGCAGTGTGAACGGATGGAGGGCAGCTGCCAACACCCTCTCCAGGCACATCGACAGCACCTGATTGCAGCAGCAGCAGGATCCATACCCACAGGATCACAGGAGATAGAAAAAGACACAGAGAGATGACACTGGATGGTTTTGCATTAACCTTTTGATGCACTCAGCATTAGCACCAGTGAAAGGCAGTCCCAAAGACTGCCTCGAGTCTCCTTCCTTCCCTTCATCTCTCCAACCCTGATGATCTGGAAATGAGCCCATAGCAGCAATTGTAATTGTCATTTCTGCCTTTTGCCACTTAGAAACAAGCAGAAGAGCTGGCAGCTTGGCACTACAAATGAGAGTTACCAACTGCCCTCAAGGAATAACTCAGGAACCTCTAAGATAATAGTGTGGACTTGTTTCTTATTAATTCCTTGCTCCAAAATAGCTGTTGGGAACCTTTATGCCCACCTCTGAAGAGAAAGACTGATGCTGCATGAAGGAAATTAACCAGCTGGCATTTGGAAAAATGGCCTGACCATGCAGCCTGTGGTCTCCCCTTACATTTGGTAACAAACCAGCTGCATGTTGACACAAGACCATTTTCTCCTTGTCTCCAATGGCATTAGGGTGAACTGCTGGAAGAGTATCCAAAAGGGTTCAGGCAACTGAGGATGGTTGGGCATACCCTTAACTACACAAGTTGTGGCATGGAGAGGCTGGGGAATGACTACAAAGACTCTATCACTGACTTTGAGAACATTTTTTTAATCTTATATCGTAACAATTTAAATTCATCTTCAAAGAACAGGCACAGAAACATTGAATTTTCAAATAATTTATTTTTATATTTCACCAAATCATAAAAAGCCGATGCACTGTTCAGCAAAAAGCATCAATATATAAAACACATTAACTCATTATCAGTAATGCTGGAGAGTACCACATACACTGAACCCAGTCCAGCTCCTACTAAAGCCACAGGAAACTCAGTGACTGCACTAGCAGAAGGATTGGATTCAGTATTTTTCTTTGCTGGGTGTTTACAAAGAACTGTATTAAAACGCTAGTAAAAAGCTTCCCTTTTGAGACTGTATCAAAACAATAATAAACCTCACTCCCTTTCTGGTTTTGTCAAACACATGCAATTAAAGCAGTCATTACACTGCAAAAGACCATACAAATAAACAAAGATAATATTAAAACAGGCCAGGCTCTACCCTCAGTTTGCGTGGACTGGTGTAGCTGCTCACAGGATAATCTATGTACACTGGTGAGGGATCTGCTCTTCAACTGCTTTCAGTGGTTAAACAAATTATGGAAAAGTGTTCTGTTTTCTCCCCAAATACCCACTGTAGGAACTTCTCAAGCAGCATTAAAAAAAAATTTAAACATTTAAAATTGGATCATCTAGACTCTTACAAAGCTTTTCCCAGGTGGCTGTAAGATACAGGAGCTCATGAATTCATACATCAGAGGTCGCATATTTCAGAGAGGCTGAAATGCTTTCAGGCTCTGAACTGACTTACAAGCAAGAAAGATCTGCTTCAGATCTTTGCAGGTGGTACACACAAAACCACTAAACCTTTTAAAATCATGGGAGCTAATGAGCTGTCCTCACAAATGCCAACTCTACAGAGATTTGGGAACAGCCAGTGCTTCCCTGGGCAAGCCAAGAGCTGCACTGGACAAAGGGCAGTAGGGTATCTGGATCTGCTTTCCTCCAAACCTGGTGGCAATGTCAGCACCTTCACACCAGATACCTGCACAGCTGGCACAGCTGGCTCTCTCCAGAAGCTGACTTAAGGTCAGCACATGCTTCAAGAGGATGCTCTGCAGTTTGTGAGGCCACACAAGCAGGTAGGGGCTGAGCAGGCCAAGCAGAGGCTGAAACAAGTGTCAATACCACTCCCTCCTGTCACAGCCCAGAAGCTGAAATCCCTCACAGGAAATGCACTGTTCAGACTGATGCCATTGTCCTGTCATACCTCTGTTAGGAAGGGATGTGAGAGACAAGACCCAATCATCTTGATAGCAATAAAATCCTCCCTGAAGTTTGCAGGAATGTTTTTGGAGATTAAAGGAAGCAGAGAGAGGAAACTTCAGTAGAACTGTTGGGGTGTTTTGTAATTTTTGTTCTGGTTATAAACATTCAAAAACCTCTCTGGAGAGTACTTCAGATCACAATATATTGATTCCTCAGTTGTGTAGCTTGGGCTGTTTTAATTAGAGTGTGTTTGACCAGAATTGCTCTGATGCCATCAGTGTGCACTGGCTGTGGACCCCAGTGGAGTGGTGTCCCCCAGAAGGATTCTGTTGAGTACAGAACTGCTCAGCACCCCAGAGCAAAGGGGCTGCCTGCTGCTCTCAAAGAATGGGGTTTAATAAGGAGGCTGCCAGAAGCTTATGAAGGCAAATGCTGGACCCTGTTTCAACAACCATGGCTAAAAGTGTTGCAGCAGCCTAGAAAATGGAATGGATTCACTGACACAACCCAGATCCTGTGTGTTCCAGGAAGATGTGCTGTGTTTCAGACACAACCTGATGGATTTCACAATGTTAATTGGGAGAAGTAATTCTCTCTGCTGCAGGAGAGACGGGGTGAAGAGTTCTGGACTGTGTAATGTGGGATACCATGACAGTTTTCAAACAGTTTTTTTATGGTTTAACATAGCACTCATTTAATTCCACCAGGTTCCTGGAGAGACTGGTGGCACCAGCCTTGGAAACCTCCCAGAGCAACACATCACCCAAATCAGGCCTGGCTTATGTAAAGGGAAGGGTTCAGTGGCACAATCCAGAGAGGTTGAATGAGAACAGGGAAAATCCTTGACTGCTTTTCTTAATTTTTTGACAAAATTTTCCACAGAGACTGCGATTTTTCTCACATTCATAAATACACTTCAGAGTCTGTATCCACAGTGGAGTCAAATTTGCCCAAATCTAGGGGGAAACAAGGAGAAAATAAATCTAGGGGGAAACAAGGAGAAAATAAGGAGGAGATAAAGAGTAGTTTAGTCTCAGGACAGTTTACCCACTTGTGTGAGAAATCATCCAAGATGCCAACAGTACTTACAAATCATCATTCTCACCTCCTGGCAGGTTGGCTCAACCCTCACTTTACAACACAGTCCAGTGGCAAGGGGGAATAAAACCTTCTCTCATTGGGTTTCCACCACATACAAAAAATTCCAGCTATTTCAGTGCGCAGCTCTTGCTTCCAAGTAGTTTATCTCCTTGATAAACACCAGAACCAGCACTTTAAATAATTGTTATTTAGGAATTTCAAGCCAAGTAGAAGAGCTCCAGCAGGAGGATTCAAGGGGGATCGAGGATAAGCTTTCATGTCTAACAAATTGCTGTTGATGTCTTTTTATATCAGTGAGAAAAAATAAATTAAAAAATCCCAAACCAAAATTTTATCATTATTTGACCAATGCAAAGTGCTATTCACACAGCACTTCTCAGTACTTATGCCTGGTTTTTAGCAATGAGGATTTTACAGCAAGCTAATAAGCATTAAATCCTAAATCCTTTAGCTGTCTATGGAAATAGAATTTAGACTCTCACATGGATTCAGGTTTTTTTCTCTACTGTGTGCAATAACAGTTCAAGCAGTTTCAGTAGCTGTGAGGTAGAGATCTTTAAGCACTGGAGTGAATACATTCACAATTTATGTTTGCAATAGCAGTTCAATTACACTCTTTGGCATGGACAAAAAAAACTAAAGAGAAAGCATGGCTATGAGAAAGCATGGCTATGCTAATACTCTTCCCAACAACAGGATAGAAAAACATTCGTGAAGTGCCTGCTCTGAAATAAAACAGTACTTGCAATATCTTAAGTAAATTCTGTTCTAACCTCCTGTTTGCTCAGAAACAAAGATAGTTTTTCTGAGAGATTGCAGTTCCCTTCTACATCAGGAGAGCATCAAAGTGCTGTTTTCTATGCAGCTCTTTACTTCATAAATCACAGAGTTGAATTTTGTCATTTAAAAAAAGCCATTAAAAACAAATATTTAGGTGCATATATGTGAGTACTAAAATACAGCTCAGGATAGTTTTCTTCCTTCTTATGGAGGACAAAAATAGGAACACGTACTCTTGAAGTACTAACACTATGAACAGAAATAGGTTGAAAACAATTTCTGTGCTTAAGAAGTTACATGAGCATTTTGTCACTGTAGGTAAAGCCTTCCTCTTTTCCCAGATTGCCTAACCAGCAGGAAAGGATATTTGTGGTCCCCAAAGCAAGCATTCCAAGAGATAAAAATGGGCTCTTTCCATCAGTAAAGGAAATGGTCTGAGGCACAGATTTAGGATCTGGACACAGCCAGCATGCTCATTCACTCAAGGATACTTGGGCCATTGATACAGAAAAAACCAAAAGTTTTGTCATAATCCAGATTGGTTTTTCACAAGGTACTGTTAGTCTTTCCAGTATAAATTACTGTCTGGATTTTTGTAAAGTTATAATTTAAATGGTAAAAGTGATTTTACATGCAATATATTTGAGAAGGTTCGGAAAAGGGAGATGATAAAACCCACCTACATCCAATACCAGGTTTGTGTGCAACGTAACTGTAAATTGTGAGCTCCTCTTCCTTGCAACTCTGCTTCCATCCTGAACACTACACAGGTTAAATCAGCAGTGTTCCATACTGGAGAGTGAAGGCCTTGAAGGGAAATCTGACTCTGTGGATTAATTTATTCTAGCAGCAGGATGTTACTCAGATAAAGGGGAATTAAAACACCTCCAAACCTGTATTAGAAACTCATCTCAGCCTTTGGCAGGTTATGCATTGGCCAGTGCTCTCCAACTCTGCCCACATCAATTCCACCTCTGGGTATCATAATAACCATTGCATTGCACGAGTCCCAGTGCTGAGTAAAAGGAAATGTACACACTTAAGGCATTCTAAGAACTACTCCAGCCAAAGCTGCTTGTTCAGAGAAAAGCCTGTATCCACATCACAGAAGAGCAGTGCAACTGGCATTTCTCTGCATACATTGTACACACACAGAGAATGCTTTCATGACAAGGTCTGTACACTCAATCATCCATCACTGGTTATTATAACACCTCCTTTTTTAAGGGGCCATAGAATCACTGCTATAGTACAAATGTGTCCTTCAGTTTTTACAGTAAATCATATTGCTCTTATTTTTGTGATTCCCACTGAAATTTCCCAGCTGAAAGATGCCTCATGAGTTAGCGGTATGAGATGTTTTTAGCATGAATGAGGAAGTTCTGTTCCAAAAGATGCCTCCTATTGTTTCTCCATTATAAAAAAAATAATAATAAACAGCACTGACCTAAAAGCTCAGATGACACTTGTTAGCTCAGATTCTCCTAGCCCAATGAGGACTGCTGGCAGGGAATTGGTGGGGAATTTAACCACAGATGGTAGCCAGAAAATTTATTTGGTACAACAGAATAATAGCGTGGCAACAGCCCAGTGCCTTGGAAAGGCCACAAAGCTTTTTCCCCTTGCAACATGTGACAATAAATAAATAAATAAATAAATAAATAAATAAATACAGTATAAGTTCCATACAGTGTTCTAGTTCTTTGAATACAACTCTTGCTAGAGTGTTCCCTGCCCTTGGACATGGCAAATTAAAGGTATTGAAATGTCACAGAAATGCCAAATTTGATTCAGCCCCACGATATGCTAGCTGGCAATGGGTGACTAAAATCAGGCGTCAGAAATGTACAAAGGAGAGAAGTGCATGAGAGTGAGCACAGGTAGGTATGAGTGTGTATAAACTATACCACAAGTAGGTATGGATGTGTGCATAAATTACAACACAGGCAGGTATGGATGAGTGCATAAATTATACCACAGGTAGCTATGGATGTGTGCATAAATTATACCACAATTCTTACCCATTTCCAGCTTGGCACCACCAGCTTGGCCTGAGTGCCTAAGCTTTAGGAGAAGAGGTTGCAGAAAACTTAGTGCAAATAAAAAACACCAAGTGTGTCCAAAAACTGGGAGTTGCAGGATACCCTTCCTCCCTTTGGGTCAGCCTTCTCACTACATGCTCAGCCTTCTGACTCACACAGGGGCTTCCATCAAAAACAGCTCTGCTTTTAAGCATCACTGATCTTGTCAGGGGGTACCAGCTTTGGTGAAGGCAGGGAAGCTGTGAAAACCAGACTGGCAAGGGAAAGCTGTGAAAAACAGCCCCATTCACATGGGACTCATAGGAGAGCTTCACCCTCTTTCCATTTTGCATGGCAACTCCAAACCCAGGACCAGTGTTTGCTGCTTCTCATGGAAGTGGAAAGGCGGAAAAAGACTTTGAGACAGGAGAGGTAGAAGAGAGCACAAGCTCCAGACAGCCTCAGCCACAAGCAGCATCCTCTCCATCAGAAGCAGAGACAAGACTTGGGCCTTGGTACCTCAGAGCAAGAACCACAAGAAGACACTTGTTATCTTCTGCCTCGTGGTTCTTCAAACCCTCAGGAAAGGCCAGGATGGGATGACCAGTGGATGACCAGTGGTCCCAACCCACACCTCATTTCAGCCTAAGCCTGATTTGGCATATACATAAAATATATTAAAATATATTACAAAGCAGCATCATGGTTCCACACAAGGAGTAAGGCAAGCACTGAAGTAATTTGTGGGAAGAGACATCACTGCTGAGTGGAAGTGAGACTGCCTTTTACAGCTGTAGAAACTGGGGAAACCCTGGAAACAGGCTAATTTACAACACCCAAGCTCCTCTTCAGGGTATGAAGAAGGACATTCCCTGGCACGGGACTCAGGTACTTGCTAGAGTGTATCTCCTACTAGAGACAGAGTAATTTAGGTTGAAAAAGGCCTCTAGGATCATCCAGTCAAACCATTAACCTGGCACTGACAAAGTCAGCACTAAACCATTTCCCTCAGTACCACATCCACCTTTCCTTTAAATACACCCAGGGATGGTGACTCCACCACTTCCCTGGGCAGCCTGTTCCAGTACTTGACAACCCTTTCAGTGAAGAGACTTTTCTTAATATCTAAATTATTAGACAAAATGAATTTTTAAAAAGGCGCTCTGACAGTCCTGCTATCCGAATTTTAAATTGGCAATAATTAGCTTGATCTCTGATTCCCTCTCCAGGAGTCCTCCTCTGATGTCAACTCCCAACCACAAAAAAAAAAAAAAAAAAAATGCCACTGCTTTAAAGCTTTCAGAGGAATTGCATTCTCTTGTGGGCAGAAATCATGCTGAAGAACAAGGCCTCTCTATAGAGAGCTGTGGCTATAAGCAGTGTTCAGCTGGGGCTGTAAGCAATATTCACAGGGCTGGATTACTGCTTAGGGCCCATGGAGGGTTTTTTCTCTAAACCTATGAGAACACTTTGGCACTTAAATACAATGTCAGATTTTATGCCCTAAAATGCTTATTAATTGAGGGATTTTTCATGACATGAAATTCTGTTTCAATGAAATGCTTAAGCTGGTACTTAACTAAGCATCAGAGAGTCCCTAGTAGCCAACAGTAAATCTGCATGGCTGTGCTAACCCCAGGCTTGAGCTCTGATGTGGGAGAAGCCGGCTGTCCTCTCTCCCCTCATTCTGATTTACCAGGTCATATAATCATGTGTGGTTTGCACTTCTCTTACAATAAATTCAGTCTCAATTCAAACACAGGTACCACAGGCAGTGTCAGCATATTCCCAAAAAATCTTCAGTCCAAACTTAGTTGTTTGCTTAAGTTTTCTGCTGATTTGGGGTCTTCTGTGCAATGTGTACCTGGGGATAAATGCTTAATCCTAGCACAGCTTTACTTCTCTGCCATGCAAATCCCACACTCCTCTGAGTGACTCTTCTTAATTATCAGAGCTACCTCTGATCTCAACAATCCACCTGATTTGTTGAAGCACTGGCCAAATAAAACTGAAAGCAACAACACAGTCACCAGTGAGCTTTGTGTAAACAGCAATTCTTCATCCTTTTCACAGCAAAATTTATCTGCCCTGGAACTCCTGCCCATGAGTGGGGAGAATGGACCCATTCAGCACTGAACTATCAATAAAATAACTCAGCTCTTTGAACTCCTTGCTATGTTTATATATAGAAACCTACAATGCAAATGATTACAGTAATTTTGCACATCCTATATGAAATAAATATCACAAATAAATTCTAATATTCAAAACAGAATAGTATACAATGTTAGGGACCAAGTTACATTTATAAATGCACAAGCATTATTACTATCTATTCAGCTTAATTTCTTAGTATGCAAGCTCCAGCAATTTCTAGCTACAGTTCACTTCAGGAGTCATAATAAATGCTGCTCATGCCAAAATCTAAGAAGAAACAAAGTCACAACCAGAAAAAAATGTTCTCCTTCATCCTTCCATATTATACACAGTTTTTGACAGGTGCTATAATAATAAACGGGTTTCATGGAATTCATTAACACTGTCCAATATTAAATATCAAGTCTGGAACACAGGTCTCTATGTTTGAAATAAAATCAGAGCAGGAGCAACATGTTTGTCAGCACTGCATCCACACACAGCAAAAGCAGAGACAGTGAGAGCATCCCAACCAGAGCTGCAGTTTCCCAGGATAAAAACACCACAAGGGGCAGCTCCACTGGCAAAAGGGAGGAGAGGGAGAGGGGAGGCACTGAATTCAGCTCCAGTTACATCTATTGTTGAAGAATGGTTTGAAGAAATAGCCTGGATGCTGTAGCCTGGTCTTGCCAGCTCAGTCCTCAGAAATGTCCCTTGTCCCAAAAGACAGCAATGGCACGTGGGAGCTCTGCTGACAAGGGCAGGTTACAAATTTTGCCTGCACAGGACAGAAAGTTTGCTGTGCCACAGGCACATAGGGCAGTTCATTCTCTTTATCTTAATATCAGTATTTCTGCCAACAATTTCTCATGGGGGAAGTGAGTAATTCACAATTACGTTTCATTTCAGGAAAAGAAAAGATCTCACACACTCAATACCCTGACTCAGCTTCAGCTCACATTACTGAATAATAAAATCTAGATCCTGCCCTGGAAATTTGCTTACACTTTAGATCATGCCACTTTTGTCATCTTGCAAAGAGGATCGTGAAGGGGATCTTCCTAGCAGCAGCTCCTTCTCATGGATCAGGCTGTCTAGCAGATCCTCCTGCCTGTAGTTGTGATAAACCTTCAGGAAAGCCAGGATGGTAATTGCCAGCCAGGTCAGCCAGGCAGCCCAGAGACCAAACTGGAGAAGGAAAGAATTCATAAAGAGGTCAGGACAGTATTGTGGAAACAAAGTCAGCTGTCCAGGTGATTATGCAAACCTCAGCTGGACCAAAACCCATGGAGTCATGCCAAATCCAGCGAGTCCTGGATGCTTCATGTAAAGGAGTCACTTTTATGGCATATTTCATTCCTAAATGCAGTTATGCCCGAGCTGGACATCTAGAAGCCAATGCTGGCAACAAAGACAAAAAACTGGCTCATGCCCAAGAGGCAGGGTTACCTTCAAGGAATGTTCCAGGCAGGCTAATGCCTCTGTCCATGTGGGATAACATAAGCTTTTGTAAGGGTACAGCCCTGCAGGGATGGGCCTGTCATCCCTGCAAAATTACTATGTGCTCATGTCCCAGTGTTCACTGGCTGATCATTGGCTTGGAGCTAGAATATTCAATAGAAAGGTCTGACAGCCTTAGGGGTCTAATTCTCATGGATCCATCAGAAAACAGCCCTATCTGAATAATTAAATCTTTGCTTATTTTCAATGGTCAATTTATATAGGTTAGGTGATCTCAGTCAAAGTCAAGGAAGGCAAAACTAGGAACCCCACAGCATGGTGCAGGCCAGAAGTTATTTTGAACAGTAATGAGGAGATCCAGGACACCTGAGTGCTGCAACTTTTGCAGACCTGATCCTTTGGATGAACAATGAGTTTTCTGTCATGATTAACAAGATCAGTGGTAGGGTGAAACTTTGACATATCTGTACTCAAAACTGTCTGTTTTGAGTTTAAAAGGCAAATGTGCCCATCACTATCATTCTGATTCAGTACTTACTGAAGTCAGTGGAAACATTCCCATCGATTTCTGAGAATGGTAGTTCAGCTCCAGCAACCCCAGGTCAATAAGCAAATGGCAAATTAACTGGAATAGAACCATGACTTAGTCTGACCTACCTGTGCAATAGCAAATTGGTCATAGAAAGCAGAGTTTTCCAAGTTCAGCTCAAGATCTATATCCTGCAACTCTTCACAGCTACCCAGAAAGGCATTTGGAAGGAAAAAACAAAAGAAAAAATTTAAAATATTCTAGGTAAACCAAATATAAAATGAAACAACATAATCAATGTATTTTGAACAGTCACAATGGCACAATCTCTCAAAAGATGATTAAGTTATTGCAATCATCATGTTGTTTGCTGATCTTCTCTAAAACTAAGATAAGAATTACTTTCTTTTACAAAAAAAATCTTGTAAGTGATTACACAAATCTTTCATAAGTGGAATTGTGATAGTTATTATGAACAGCATCCTTGATCCCCTCTTTCCCACTGCCCCCTCGCCTCCCACAGATTTGCCCCTGGCATCACCCCAGGTTGGTTGTTTCACCCCTCAATGAAACAAAGTGTATGATCCTCTGTTACCTTTTGACTTCATCAGGAAAAGCCTCAGAAGAAGGAATTGTGTTTTTGTTTCAGATGCTCCAGCAAGGAGATGATACTCTGATGGTAAGATAGGGGCTGCCTACAGATTTTACAAATAACTTGGACCATTTTTGGTGTGAAAAATATCCCAGGATTTTGAGGTTGTCATTCTACCTCTTGGTTGATTTCTGCAGCCTCTTCTCTCTCCTTTTCAGTGCTGTCGGTCATCTCAGGTTCTTACCCGAATATTCGATTAGATGCTTTTTGTAATTGAATTTTTAACCGAATATTCGAGTAATTCGATTAATCGTTGCAGCCCTAAACAGAACATTCACTATGGCATTTTACAACATATGACAATGTGCAGCAACATAAATGTATGCTTCAAGTAGTACATATATTCAAGATCATATGACATAAAATGTCACATTTTCCTCTCTCTTCATCATTATTTGTTTGACAGGAGCAAATCTTCCTTGACTTAGCATGTTCCCTATAAGGAGCATAAGCATCGTGGGATACACTGGGCCATTTTAGGAGCTGTACATTTTGTGACTGCAACAAAGCATCAGCCATCTGTACTTTGCACTTACAAAGTGCTTTCCATCCTGTGGCTCTCAGGGCATCCACAGCATCACTACAAGGCAAGGAATTCTACCCCAAATGGTTTTTCTGATGATGAGCTGTGGCACAGGCAGGATAAGTGACTTGCCTGGTGTCACACAGTGGGCTGGGGGCAGAACCAAGACTGCAAGCCAGGAATCCTGGCCCCCAGCCCCCTGCCCTGCTCACAAGGCCACACTCCCCCCATTCTTAGAAAACCTCTAAATCTAGCATTCCTTTGGAAATAAAAAACAAAATTAACACAATGGATTTGTTTTTGATGTGATCACAACCACAAAATATGATGGAAACACACTTTTCTTTGTGGGCTTCTAAATAAACAAACAAAAAGACGTTTGATTTGCTATGTTTTGTTCCACATGAAAAAACTCTGGATTTTCATATTACAGATGCCTTCTCCCCCTTGCTCACCTTGCGTGTCATAACTACACTTTGTAACACCACAGCTCAATTGTGCCTATTTGAAAAAAAAAATAAAAGGAATAAAATGCATTCTTCAATACTAACCTATTTGGCATGCTTCCTTTTTCAGTAATTGCATCACACCACATGTTAAATCCTACACTCACTATAGTGCTGGCAATAAATGTGATGAACACCACAAAGGCGCTGATCAGCAGATTCAGGAAGGCGTAAAAGAAAGAGCTGTAATAAAAGGGAAGAAAAATGTAACTCATAAACAGCTGAAACACAACATCAGCAGTCTCTGTAAGCAGCAGAGTGGGCTCAAAGATATCAGTTTCCATTTAAAACACATCTTTAATTAACAACGCCTAATACATTGAAACACTATGGGCTCGATTTTGAGTCACACTACCTTCACTTGAAAATGCTTTTGATTTTGATTTCTTTTTTAAACATAAGAAGATGTGGCTTTGTATAATGAGTGGTGATTGTTCATACACAATGTGGCTTTCATTAGCTGCAATGATGAAAATCACCATTGTTAAAATAAATGTCATTAGCTCAAATTATGTAGTAACTGCAGCTAAAATTATTACATGGCTTAAGTGATAATTGGGAAAAATATTGCTTAGAAGAGGGAAACTAAAAATAAAAAACACAGAACTGATAGCTATAATCACTTTAAGCAATGTAACACAAGGTACTGCCATCACAGGACACGAATCTCAGTTTTATGGGCAATTTGCAGAGCAGGCCAGATTCTCCCAGGATTTCTCTGGCTTTGGTGTCAGTATGCTGTGTCTGCCAGCTGAATATCAACTTCTCTCAGCCCCATTAAATCTGCCCCAGCAGGGCCTGCCCTGAGCACGTGCAGTGTTTGGAGTGGGATGGGTGAGATGCTTACAGATTTCCCACAGGGCCATGGAATCCCTCTCTCATTCTCACTCTTTAACTCCTCACTTGAATTTTAGCTGGGAAAAGTTTCTAATCCCAGTCACCCAGCAAAACCCTTCTCTACTTGAAACTTCTCCAAGTGGCTGTTTAGAATAGGACACCTTGGAATTTGACATTATGTAAAAACTGGACATCTGCTCCAGGTTGGGGAAAGACTGGCATCTCCAGGAGGCAGGTCATCCTATTCAGTGTGTGGTAAAAATGAATATGACAAATTTCTCACCAGTGCCACTCATTGTGCTGGTGACAGAATGAATCTACTTACCCCAGAGAAGAAAAAAAAACCTTCAGTCATTTCTTTTCCCTGGTTGCTCATCAAATGAAAAGCCAAGAGGCTTTTTAAATAAGTGTTTGAGTCCTGGAAGGCTCTGGACAATCCTCATTTCTACAGGTTATACATGATGCATTTGTGACCTCAGGAGAACTTCTTTAAAATGAGATGAGGAAGCAATTATCAGCAGAGTTAGGATGTTTGCTCTGGGTTGATGAGCCCCTAGAGGGACTGTCTAGGTTCTCTCCAAAGTAACAGTTGTTCCACCCCAAGACTGATAGAAAAGTGAAATAAAACACCTTCAAGAAGTGCCCCTAGAGACTGTAATGGGTGCTGGATGCCAGGACACCTGACTTCTGGATGAACAATAAGCTGAATCCTGCTCTGGTTTAGCTGGGCTTGGTGAAGTAGATCAGCTCAGCTCTGCTGGGTGCTGGGTCACCCACACAGTGGCAGCTGCTGTGAGATTCCAGATTTCTGCATGTTCTCTGCCCTGACTTCACACCCAGCCTGGATTTCATCCCAAGCCTTGCTGAAGTCAGGTCATATCCTCTGTGTGCACCTTAGCATGTAGTGCTGGCCTGGGAGGCAGAAAAGACTTGAGCTGCTCACAGAACAAAACAGACCTGGAACCAGAATTAGTAACAGCTCTAGAAAAGGAGCAGTTCTCAGGACTGTTCAGTGGGTCATCACAGCCCAGGATCTGCAGTTCTCCCTCTGTTTCCTACCCTGCAGCAAGAGAGGTTCCATGGTCCAGGATCTGACTTTCCACTGACAAAGCAGGGCTCAGCCTTGCACCTGATTTGCATCTGGCAAGAAAAACCATCACCAGTGCCAGGGCATCCTGATAGACTGCTTATATGGATCTCTAGATTACCTGATTTTTCCTCCTTAGATTAGAACTTCAAGCTATGCATTACAGATTGAGTGAATGCCCTTTAATAATGAATATTTACACCTGAAGTTGCTTTGCAATCCTAGCAATGAAGTATCTGAGTTGTACCTCTACCCTTCAGCTGAGCTGAAGAGCCCCAGGCTGCCAGGGCAAGGGGTGTTGAGACCCTTTTAAGGTTTTTAGCCATCATAACTGCTAGAAAATAATCAGTGAGCAATCATTCAAAGCCATTGGACATGGAAGATGCAAAGGGTGCTAACCAACCCTGACTGCCTTGGCTGGCCCAGGAGCAGTGATCCTCCTCGACAGGATCATCAGTTATGACATTCTGGCTCTCCCTCAGCTACCTCTAATCAGAACAAACAATTATCATGGGTGGTGAGGAGCTCACATTTATCTCTCCATCCAAACAGAAATGGTTTTGCACCCATTTGAACCATTAAAAAATGGCTGACTAAAATCAGGACAGCATGAGCCCTGCCTGCTTTTCATATGGTGGCTGATGTGGAGCAGGACAGACTTTCCTTCTTACCAAGAAAATGCTGTTCCCAAGCATCTTGCCATGTTGTACGCTCCTGTAGCCTTCTGTGGGTATCTCATTATCCCAACTTGCTTTGTCTTTGTTCCCCATCACCCCACAGCCCTCTGCCTTTCTTGTCTGGAGCAGCTTTGAACAGTGCTATACAACTCCCAAAGGAGCCTGAAGGAGCTCCTGAAGGGACACTTTTCAGGGGCCTGCCCAACAGTTTTGAAGATAACAGCCACTTTTGGAAGCAGGCCAAACATCTAATCCAAATGTCACCATAACAGGGTTTTCACTGCTGGTTTCTTCCAAAAATTAGCTAGCATTGAGATTTAATTAACCCTCTACATATATTGGATCACTAGAGGAAGCTGAACTCAAAGATATTAAGAACTATGTGGTTGTATTTAGTGTAAGGTATGTTTTAATATGGAATAAGTTTCTGGTCCTCACTAACTGCATGATGTTTGAGTATTAGACAGGTTGAGAGTGGTTGGAAAGAGCCAGAAAGACAACACTGCTACCCAGTCTCCAGGGTTACCAAGCCCAGATGTAACAGCCCCTTAACTCAAGAAACCTCTAGACCAAACAGACCTGGATGGGAATGACTCACCCTTGGCAATGTTCCTAAACCATGGGGAAAATATTTTCCTAGTTTAGACAGGCACCAGTGCATTGTCCAGCCCTGGCCCTGCAGCATCTGGGTTACCTGCACCAGGATCTCTGCCCTCTCAGGCCACCAGAGAGGCAAGCACAGAACATCACGGAGCTCCTGAGCTGCTGCCTGGCCCACCAAGCCTCTGAGTACCCCTGCCTGGGGTGGGATGCTGTAGAATCCTTCCCCACACTGCTCCAGGATGCCCCTTGGTTTGTGTGACACAGGAGCCAGCCCTCAGTGCCACCCTGAGCTACTGCAGGAGAAGATTGTCCCTTGGTTTGTGTGACACAGGAGCCAGCCCTCAGTGCCACCCTGAGCTACTGCAGGAGGGGATTGTCCCTTGGCTGTGTGACACAGGGACCAGCCCTCAGTGCCACCCTGAGCTGCTGCAGGAGCACTCAGCATTGCTCTCATGCTGTAACCAAGCAATAGTCGTTGTCTGCAGTAGCTGCCATGTACACAGCAAAAGCAGCACCAAAATGAGAGGGGAGGCACCAGCTTCTGCCTTCTGGCCCCACACACACAACCACATTGTTTCAAGGTTTTTCACAGGCCCAGTGCACACCTGCGAGGCCTCCTTTGGCATGGATGTGTAGTGAGACCGTGGTCAAGAAGCCCCTGCGAGCCCCAGCCTCCATCATCACCCCACAGACCTCAAATCCTCCCAGGCCCACTCCCCACAGCCCCCAAATCCTTCCATGCCCACTGCAGCTGCGTGCCCACACTGGACTGCCAAAGGCCTGTGGGTGGGTCTGAAACCTCACCCCACAGAAGCATCCCATGGTGAAGGCCCTGGACACGGCTGGGGGAGTGCCTGGTGTGTGACAGACAGACAGACAGACAGACAGGGGTCAGACACCAGCTCTCCCCAAACCCCTCTGGGCAGCCTGATGACCTGGATGATGCAAACCCCAGAGCTTCACCCCCAGGCTGCTCCCACATGCCCAGGCTGTGGCAGGGACGGGCTGATGATCCCCAGGGATACTCACTCCTCGTGCCCTTTGCAGAGGAAGAAGAGGGTCCTCCAGGCCTGCACTGTGGCCAGCAGCAGGGACAGGAGCCCGGTGAAGATGCTGAAGCGGCAGGCGGCCTCAGGCCCCCACTCCTGCACCGTGAAGCGCTGCCGCTCCACCGTCAGGTTGGCGTTGAGCCACATGCCCTCGGTGAAGAGCAGGCAGCGGCCGTGGAAGTCGTTGCCATTCTCGGAGAGTGGCACCACCACGATGAAGCTGAAGAGGAAGGCCAGGAAATAGCAGATGCACTGAGCGAAGAGGAAATTGCTGAGCGCCATGTCCGCGGCTCTGCGCAGGCAGAGGGAGGAGGGAAGGGTGGAGAGAGGGATGGAGGAGGAGGGATGCAGGAGGGAGGGGTGGAAAGAGGGATGCAGGAGGGAGGGATGCCGGAGGAGGGATACACGAGGGAGCGATGTAGGAGGGAGGGATGCAAGAGGGGGGAATGGAGAGAGGGATGCTGGAGGAGGGATGCAGGAGGGAGGGATGTGAGGTGGGAAGCGGAGAGGATGGAGGGATGGAAGGAGGAAGGCAGGCTGCAGCAGTAGGCGGTGGGGAGGGAAGAAGGGAGGGAGGATGCGCAGTGCAATGCAATGGATTGCGGTGCGGTCCGATGCCTCCTCCGGACACGGCTGCTCCCTCGCCCGCAGCCCGAGCTGCCCCTGTGAATGGTTTCGAGGCTTGGAGAGGAAGAGGGGAGAGGAGAGAGGAACAGCTGTTGTGTTTTCTCTTCGGGAAAATCTGGCTGTCACTACCCTCTGGCGCCCAGGGGGTTAAATCAGTCCGTGCGTCTCCAGCAGGGCTGAGGACCGCCGGTGGGGGATCCCCCAAATGACACAGGACACTGATGTCACTGATGTCAGCACCCTGTTGATTGCCATCACACACACACAAATACCCCAAACCAGCTGACTGGCCTCATCCTAGCTGCTGGATCCCAGGAAATTTTGACCCAAGTTTGTAAAAATCTGGCCAGCAGCCTCAGACGGTGGCAGTAATAGACAGGGTGCACAGCCACTCCATCCAGCCCCTACAGACCCAGTGGTTTTGTTCCTAGACCAGGCTGTCACACCCCTACCAAGCTATTGCAAGGGGAGCAAATGCTCACCCGAACTGGAATAACTTTTCTTGAGCCTTGGTGTCATTTAGGGGCTGCCTGGGGTTGGGATCAGCTGTGTTACCCCCTGGCTGGCAGGTGGAGCAGGGCTGGAAGAAAATAACCTCAAGCAAGTTCCTGCTGGTCATCAAGCTGAGAACAGAGCAGCACAGCAAGGGGACATTGCTGTCCAATACATGGCAGGAACAGATGGCATTTCATTCCTGGGGCTGAGTAGCTGCCTGCCCCATACCATGCTTGGGAAGACACCAGAGCAGCCCCTCTGCTGTAGGGCCCAAAACTGCAAGGCCAGGATGCCAGAAAGCAAAAGGCATCAAAAAGGGGAATGTGAGTTGTGCTCAGCTCACTCTGGCACAAAAATCCAAATTAAACTGTCCTCAAGTTATAGTTTCCCCACAATCCCAATTTCATTTTTCCATCTTGACATGAATCCTCTCTCCAGCACAAGGCATCACAATTAATGTCCAGTTCCAGGTAAAGTAATTTCCTAATCTAATTTCCCAGCCACATCCAGTCTGAGATCAGCTGCAGGTCTCAAATCACTGCTGAATCCCAGGGCTGTTTATGCTCATTTTATCAGTGTGCCACTTCCCAGGCAGTGTTTAGAGAAGCAGATGAGTGACAGAGACCCCAGACATAATGCACATGGGAATTCAGGCTGGTGTTTCCATTGGGCAACCAAAAAACTATTTCTGTGGGCTGGTAAGAGGTTACAGATACAGTCCTGACACAGAGGAGGGCACTGGGGGAATTCTTAGAAAAGACATTAATTCACAGCTTCATTACAAATCATTTGTCGTGTATATTATCTTGAAATCTCATTCTATCTGTGCAGGGAAAGCATTTCTTTGTGAATGCCACATCTCTTCAATAAAAACTTTTTTCAGTACAAATGAAATGTGTCAGGCAGTTTTCTGATCCTAACCCAGCTCTGATCATCAAAAATTGTATTTCAGTTGTGTAAGATGAGTTATAGAGCACTGACCTGGCCCTGTGGGGACAGATGTGTGCTCCTAACAGAAAAGATATTTCAGTCTATTGGAAGGAGGAAAGTTTATTGCTCTTAACCTTGCTTCCAAGAAGTGCTTGGTTCCCAAAGGGTTTTATCCTTTACCTGTAAAGAAATCAGACCTGGACTGAGGTGGGAAACTCTTTTCTTTGAAATGTGACACATCAGATTTGCCAGATAATGTTTGCTGAACTTAACTTGGGAGGTCAGCACCGACATAAAAGCCCAGTTACTGCTTACACTGGAGCCCAGAGAAGGGGCCAGCAGGTGCCGAGGGCTCTTTGCCTGGGGCAAGCCCCGTGCTCAGATCTTGCCAGCAGCAGCCACAGAGCTCTGCTGCACCAGGGTCCTTGCACAGGGGAATGTGGGGCCACTTCTAGAGCAGATAAACTTGTCATGGCTGATGAACTAACTCAAGAGAGCATTTATTGGAGAGTTTCAGAAAGCACAACCAGGCATTTACAAATGTGAGCAGACATGTAGAACAGCTGCACTTTGCAGGCTGACAGCTACTGGAGATGGGTCTTAAGCAGTGAGCACACAGTGGAGTGAGCAAAGGGATGGAGATAAAACCTGTCAGCCGCCACTTTGGAGCTGCCTCTCATGTAAATCCTAAAAAAAAATCCTGCTAGGCTGGAATTGGTTCCAGAAACATGGAGTTATTTCAGTGGAGTAAATTTGATAGGCTTATGTTTCTCAGCATGGTGAAACTGAGGGAGAAAGGCAAATGAATGATGATTCATTCATTCATTCTTTTATCACAGGGAATGGAGAACATGAGATATACTTGTCACAGACATGCTTTATGAAAAATCTTTTCCTTAGGATTTTTTCTCCTGAGAAGCTAAGAAGCCTCAAGAACAAAATGTAAACAATTTTAAATGTAAACAATAATAAACATTTTTTAATGTAAACAATAATTATCTGCTGTGCAATGCAACAAGTAGATCTGTGATTGGTCTTATGTAGCTGTTTTTAATTAATAGCCAATCACAGTCCAGCTGTCTCAGACTCGCTGGTCAGTCGCAAGATTTTGTGATCCTTCCATTCTTTTCCTTTCCTTTCAAGCCTTCTGATGAAATCCTTTCTTCTATTCTTTTAATATAGTTTTAATGTAATATATATGTCATAAAATAATAAATCAACCTTCTGAAACATGGAATCAAATTCTCATCTCTTCCCTAGTCCTGAGACCCCTACAAACATCACCACATATACTGGCCAAGCAGAAACTCTGAAACACAGGAAAAGATGCACATTTTTCTCACTTCATATAATTGTTCCATGGCACATATCATGGGACAATGCAGAGGGCAAAAAATAAATGCTGGTGCCAAAAGATATTAGATAAATAAATGGTAAAAAGAGTTCCACAAAGACCTGAGAAATGCCGAGCTGGGGGATGTCGCAGACATCTTTTCACTAAAGATCCTTTCTTAGGATTTTTTCCCTTCTGAGGAGCTGAGGCCTCAGAAACAAAATGTAAACAATGGTTATCTGTTGCTGTGGAATGCAACAGGTGGATCTGTGATTGGTCTCCTGTGGATGTTTGGATTTGGTGACCAGTCACGGCAGAGCTGGCTCTCGCTCTCTGTCTGAGCCAGCTGCCTGTGTTATCATCTTTTCTATTCTATGCTTAGCAAGCCTTCTGAGAGAAAACCTTTCCTTCTATTCTTTTTAATTAGTTATAATGTGATATATATATAATAAAATAATAAATCAAACCTTCTGAACGTGGAGTCAACATTCTCTCCCCTCATCCAAGAACCCCTGTGACCACTCTCACAGGGTAACTAAACTTCAGCTCAGGATTCCCTCACAGCAGGTTACTGGGAAGGTGGAGTCACAAAATGATGCCTCTACATCGCCAGCATCCTCTATTCTTCCCTAAAGCAAGCACCTGCTCCTGGCAGCATTGGAGATGGGATACCCAGGGAGATCATGCCTTGGTCTGACCCACTTTGGCATTTCAGGCTCTCATTACAACACTGGCAGCCCCAGCCTGGTGTCTCAGCTTCCCCATCCAAGTGGGGAGAGCTGTCCCTCCCAAGCATCCCCCACACTTGGCTCCTGTGAATGCCCTCAGGAGGGACCTGCCCCAGAGCAGACACTGCAGGAGGCAGTGGGGCAGTTCTTGCATCTGCATAGCACTGGGAGAAGAGATGGGCATGATGAGAGGAGGCTGCACGTTGCCCCAGCTCTGGTGGTGCCACCACAGGAAGAACAGGTCAGATGTGCTCCTGCTGCAGCCCCCCATGAACATCCCCCTGATTGCATCCAGTTCTGGACCCCTCAGTTTTGGAGGGACGTTGAGATATTTGAGTGTGTCCAAAGGAGAGCAATGAGGCTGGTGAGGGGCTTGGAGCACAAGCCGTATAAGGAACGACTGAGGGAGCTGGGGTTGTTCAGCCTGGAGAAAAGGAGACTCAGACGTGACCTTATCACTCTCTTCACCTTCCTGAAGGGTGGCTGTGGTGAGCTGGGAATCGGTCTCTTTCTCCAGGCAACAACAGACAGAACAGGAGGACACAGTCTCAAGATGCGCCAAGGGAGATACAGGCTAGGATTAAGGAGGAAGCTTTTCACAGAAAGAGTGGTCAAGTACTGGAATCATCTACCCAGGGAGGTGGAGGAGTCACCATCCCTCAATGTGTTTAATAAAAGACTGGATGTGGCACTTGGTGCCATGATCTAGTCGAGGTGTTAGAACATGGGTTGGACTCGATGATCCTAAAGGTCTCTTCCAACCTAGAAATTCTGGCATTCTGTGATCCACCTGACCACAGCATCCCCTCTCACTGTTGCCGGGGCTTGCAAGGGTTCCTCAGGGGTGAAGAGAAAGACGAGAATCTTGACTCCATGATCAGAAGGCTGGATTTATTAATTTATTATATATGTTACATTAAGACTACACTAAAAGGAATAGAGAGAGAAGTTCAGAAGCTGCTAAGCTAAGAATAGAAAAGGAATCAATCAACAAAGGAGCTCTCTCTGATTCTCTCAGAGAGCGCTTGGTCCTTGATTGGCCCTTAGTTGTACACATGCAACATGGGCCAATCACAGGTGCACCTGTTGCATTCCACAGCAGCAGATAACCATTGTTTACATTCTTTCTCTGGGGCCTCAGCTTCTCAGAAGAGGGAAAAATCCTAAAGAAAGGATTTTTCACAAAAGATGTCTGTGACACTCTCACCACAGCACAGAGAGGTCTCACCTGCTCTCTGCACCCCCCCAGGCCTGCTGAACAGGAGCTGAACCCCAAGAGGACCTTGTTCTGACAGGGGGCTGAATGAAGATGGCTTGCTCAGCATCAGGCAGGGTGAAGTTCAAAGTTTGTAAATCTTATT